ACCTTCTTTGAGGTCCCATTTTCGTGCGTTGAGGTGGTGCAATTGGCACATAAACAGTACACCCAAATATTCGAAGGTGAGATATATTTGGTATTTTTCCAGAAACCAATTGAGTAGGGGAATAACAGTGATAACTTGTCGGCCTTATTTTCACGAGGGTTGTTGCATGCAATATAGCATGTCCCCAACATGATACTGAGAGTTTAGACCTCATTAACAATGGTTTAGCAATTAATTGCAATCTTTTGATTAGGGATTCAGCCAGGCCATTTTGCGTATGTACATGGGGAACAGGGTGTTCCACAGTAATCTCAATTGACATGCAGTAATCATCAAATGTATGTGATGAGTACTCCCCAGCATTATCTAAACGTATTTTCTTTATCGGGTGATCTGGAAATTGTGCTTGCAATTTAATTATTTGTGCAAGTAGTCTAGCAAAAGCTAGATTGCGAGTAGATAACAGACATACGTGTGACCATCGCGTTGACGCGTCAATTAGTACCATGAAATACTTGAAGGGTCCACATGGTGGATCTATTGGTCCACAAATATCACCCTGGATTCTTTCCAGAAAAGCTGGGGATTCAAATCAACCTTTGTTGGAGATGACGTGATTATTAACTTTCCTTGGGAACAGGCAGCACAAGCAAATTCATTCGGACTCAAAATATTTTTCTTTTTCAATGAGTGGCCATTTGAATTTTCAACAATTCGCCTCAGCATTACATTGTTAGGATGCCCAAGTCGATCGTGCCAAGTTTTAAATTCGTTAGTAGTCATTTGGTCTACTAGGTGATATGTTTCAATGGCACTGATTTTTTAGTAATATAAGCCGGAAGAAAATGATGACAATTTTTCTTTCACAATTCTTTTGCCATTCACAACCTGAGTTATCAGAAGTTATTCATTTTCTGTCTCATTCAATGTTTCAATGTGATACCCATTTTTCTGAATATCACTGAAGCTCAGTAAATTCCTTCGAGCTTTGCTCGAGAACAAGGCATTTTCAATTACCATTTTTGTCCCTTTAGGGAGATATACAATAGTTTTTCCTGAGCCTTCAATCATTGTCGATACACCACTGATAGTAACAATTGTGGCCTTTCCCATATTAAGATGGGAGAAATAACTTTTGATTTTCAAAATGTTGTGAGTCGTAGCACTGTCGATAAGGCAGATGTTGTCATCCGCTCCAAAATATTTGGCATCCATATCTTTGCAAGAAGGTAAAAATAATAAAAGACATGTATTAGTAACATAATCAAAATAGACTTATATTATAGGGGATAATACAAAAAGGGGGCAGCAAACATCAAAATAACAAAAGAGATACAACATCATTTTATTATTTAACATCATCAGCTATATCAAGCATATCATCGGCATCCAGGTGCGTGATATTTTCATTCATCACATCGTCAAATGTGTCATCGTGGGCAGTGTGATTTGTTTCGGGGGCAATTCTTCCCTGTCTTTCTTTTGAGGCCCGATAGAGTTCAGTCAAGTGACTGGCTGTGCGACAAACATGGGTCCAATGGCCTTTGATTCCAAACCGGGTGCATTCCTCGCCATTGTTTCTGTTTCTCCCGGTATTGAACCTCTGTTGAGGTCTGTACGGCCTTCTGTCATTATATCGCCGATTTGGGACATATCGGGTCCTGTTTTGATAATTATTGTGACTGTATGCGTTTGCCCGGCCCCGTCCGCGATTCTGATTTCGATCGCGATCAATTCGCTGATTTCTGACTTGCCCACGACCATGCACCGGATTTGCCGGCTGTATTGCATTTGCATCTGGAAATGGATTTGCACATGTCGGCCAAGATTCGTGATTTTTCAACAACAATTCATTATTTTGTTCGGCCAGCAAAAGACAGGTGATCAGCTCAGAATATTTCTAGAAGCCTCTTTCGCGATACTGCTGCTGCAAAACTATGTTAGAGCCATGAAAAGTGGAGAAAGTTTTCTTCATCATATCAGATTCAGATACATTTTCGCCACAATGGCGCAGCCGTGATGTTATTTTAAACATGGCAGAATTATATTCTTGGACTGATTTAAAGTCCTGAAGTCGTAGGCTTTGCCATTCTCTTCGTGCCCTTGGCAACAATGTCAGCCTCAAATGATCATATCTTTCTTTCAATCTCTCCCACAATTCGAGTGCAGATTCCAGCGTGACATATTGCATTTTCAGTGCCTCATCTATGTGATGGCACAAAAAGATCATGGTCTTTGCACGATCTTGGCTCGGGGAGTTTTTATCCCAGGCAATGGTATTTTCCAAGCCCATTGATGCCAGATGCATTTTAACATCGCGAGCTCATGCCATATAATTTTGGTCAGAAACGAAGATAGAGAAATTCCTGTTTGGCAAGGTTAGTCATAATAAACAGATAAAATATGAAATATTACCTTACGGAAATTAAAATATATAATCATGTTGATAACGTGTTGTAATATTATTATAGGATTAGCCAATAGAAATATTAATTATTTTTACCACTAACTACTATTTTATATTTGGTATTATATTATATACTGTGAACATATAATATATAAGTAAACATATATATATGTATATAGATGTGTATATTATAATATATAGATGTATAGTATATATGTAAATATATATATATAATATTATATAATACAGTAATGCAAATGCAGAGAGAGAAGAGAAAATTGAGGGGAAATTGCAGTGCCTTGTTTCATTTCATTTACAGGTATATTTATAGGCAAACAAACCCCAACACAAAAGAAATAAAAACAAACATATCGAATACGTAACACCTTAGTAGGTGCTACGTGTGAATAACAGTGGATATATCCTAAACTTATGTTTATTTATTTAAATAATTTTGTAGGACAATATATAATAATTTTAGATAGTCTATAATATTCTAATGAATTAATGTTTGTCTTTAGATTAGATAGATCTCATCCCTCCATATGATTGTTACTGATAAATTTCGTAACAAAATTTTCTTTTTTAATTTTAGTTTAGAATAATAAAATTTTAAATTGTAATTATTTGATATGATATAAATATATATTGACGATGTTCTGAGTATAATGTTAAATTTTAATGTAATATAATAAATAAAAAATAATTATTTAATTTGATTTTTTATTAAAAATAATAGAATAATAAAATTATGTGTATATATAGTATTTATAAATAATGTTATTTAAAAATTGTGTCAATAGAAAATAATTGTGAATAAACTCAAAATATAAAAATAATACTACTATTTTATTAATAATTATAAATATTATTGACTATTTTTCTTTTAGCTTATGAATGTGTATTTTAGTTTAAGATAACAAAATGATCATGTTTATGTAATATTCCAATAATAAATAATTTTATTGTGATATAATCATTTAAAATAATAAAACAATTGATATGAAAATGGAATAATATTAGCTATCATATTTTCACATATTTTATATAAATTTTAATATAGATAAATAATAATTGACACCCTCATTTTAAATTTTAAATGTCTGTTGTTTTTTTTATTTTCACTTACAAACTTCTTAATTTGTTATTTAGAAAAATAAAAGGCTAAAAATAATAAAAATATATACACTCATAGTTTTTTTAACAGCCACAAATTAAAACAATAATAATAATAATAACTTTAAATAACAATGACAGTATTATCAAAATTTTATGTTTCTTTTAATTGGAATTGGATTTAAAAGTTTAATTTTTTTATTAAAATAATATTTAATCTAATATTTTTTGTGAAATATATATATTTAAAAAAAATTAAAATCTAAATAATAAAAAATTGAATAAAAACTTAAACTAAACCCTTGGGTTGTGTTCTTGTGAATTTTATGATAGATTTTAACTACTTAAACTATTTTTTCTCTTAAAAAATTAAATTAAACAATTTTTCTTTTTTCTTTTATACTCCTTCGTTCCACCACAAATGGCCCAATTTTTTTTGGTATATCTCACAAAAGATGACTCTTTCTATTGTTGGTAAGTTTATCAATATTAAATATACTTAACAAATATAAATCAATTTAATCAAGCTTCCAACATTTTACACTTACGATCCTATCAAAACCCCTTTATTTCTACCTCTTTCCTCAATTAACATATCTACAAAATGATATTCATATTACATATATTTTATTGAAATATAATTATAAAAATATTTAAAATACTAACAACACTATACATATAAAAAATAATAAAATATTATTTTAACTTATTATTAATAAGTTAATAACCTACACTATCTAAAATACCTTATCTCTAACAAAAAATGGATAACAAAAGGCTCCCTCTTTCGAGGGACAAAGAAAGTACTATACTCCCTCCGTCTCATAAGTAAATATTTATTTGTTTTTTGCACATAATTTTAGAAATATTAGTATTATATTGAAATATAGTAAGAATAAAATAAAAATGGCAAAAATAACCTTATTAGTATATATATAATATAAAGGTAATGACATTTACGTAATATAAGTTGTAAGAATATAGTACACTTACTAAAAAAATGAAATGAAATTGAAAAATTAATACTTTGTTATGGGATCGGAGGGAATACTACAAATTTATTTTACATCAAAACATCACATCTAACTTTTATTTATATCACATCAAACAACTATTTAAATTCAAGTTTTTACTATTTAAAAATCTAAACCCAAAAATTAAAATCCACAAACAAACACAGCCTTGATGACTGCGCAATTTAAAACAATAATAATAATAACGAACTCCAAAACAATACATTCAAACTCTATTAAAGACAACAAAACAAACAACTTCAACATGGGTAGAGAAGTGACTCAAGCATTTCTTCAATTTAAGGGTAACAGGACTTTTATTATTTTTTACTACTATTTAGTCTCTATCATTTTCAATAAGAAAAATATTTTTTTTCTTATAAAAGGTTACATGAATTTAGTATTTAAACCAACATCAAAACTACACAAATAAATAAATAAAAACTAATTAAAAAAAAACCACATAAATAAAATAACAGCGTTATTCATCAGTGTTCAATATCCATAGTTCAATCCATTAGGTCACAAATAAATAACATAGGCTGCAACCTCCATAGTTAATTAAACTAATTCCCAATACTGCCTCACATTCAATCACTATGTTGCAACAGAATTTCTAAAATTCCATCAAAACATAAACATACAATACTCACGTTAATTCAAATAAAATAGTAGAGAAAAGCAAGCATATAAAATCAAAGATATAATAAATCTTGCAATTCTACCTTTGTAAAGCCATACAAAAGCTGATGATGCCTGTAATAATGGCCGCCGGACCGTCGTCGATACTGCGTTAATTTGTCTTCGCTTTGGTTGCTGACTTCCTCTTTGACGACCTCCTCGGCATTGAGTTCTTCATGCCAATGAAGAACAGCAGCGCGCCAAGCAATGCCAAACTCTGAAAAAAAAAAATCAATGAGAATTATCTCGCCATTAAAACAATTAAATAGTCTCGGTATTGAATGCGCGCCTGTGTAAACTTAGCAAAGAGTTGAGTGAATTCTTTCTTGTCGGCGTCGTAGTTGTAGAAGTCATACAAGATAGTTGCCGCAATTGCCTGATGCAGAAGCTGTGAATTGAATGAGGAAGAGGGCGTCCGTTAGTAAAAACATTGGTTGTGTTCTTTTGTAGGTTTTACCATAGGTTTTTACTATTTAGATTCTTTTTTCCCTCCAAAAATATCACTTTTCTTTTTATATATTATACTACAAATTTATTTTGCATTCAAAACATCATATCAACGCATCACACAACTATTCAAATTCAATATTTTACTATTAAAAAATCCAAACCCAAAACCTAAAACCCACAAACAAACACACCCGATTCTTTTAAGTTCAGAAAAATCGGTAAATCAAGTTTAATTTAAATGGCCATTACCAGGATGAAGGCGCCAAATGAGCTGCCGACAACAAACAAGAGGCTTCCCAAGGCTTTCATGACAATTGCAGCTAATATCAAGTGTTGCATCTGAAATTAAAGTACGGAGGATTTGTCGATGTGAGAGATAGTTGTGGGACTTGCAGTGTTATAAATGTATATACATTAAAAGCTCCATACTTCTACATGTGGAACTTGAAATCCAGTTTGAGCTGTAATATGCTTGCAGAAGACATTGAATTTTGGTTTTAAATTCTTCGCTGCTGGTCCACCATCAACGCCGAATTCATTGTACCTGCAAATATTTAATCATATACAAATGAAATGATGGAGTATTCAAAACAAATTCGAACTTTAACTTTATAGTAGCAGTTAAAAGGATATTCCCATATATGGTAATTAGAATGGCTGTAAATAGTCATAACCATAAAAGGCTATTGCTAGTTTTTGGGGGAGAAAATTAGTGATTCCAGATATATTTAGTTACACATAATTATATAATTACACATCAAATATATTTATGTGGAATATAGTCATTGCTGCACATTCAGCTCAAATACATGAACTGCTATTCTAATTTAAATTAGCATTATAACCGGCAGCCCATAATTCCGAACTCAATTCCATTTGGGATGGGAAACTGTTTATTAGCACATGACTTAACCAAAATAGACAAATGCAACAGAGAAAGAACCAGTGATCGGAAATGTTCATGACAAGAATCAAGATCTTTAATAAAGGCAGAACTTCGATTGACATGATATCAAAAAACATAAATGAAGACTATTAGGCAAACACACTGTATCCTTTCATAGACAGAGAACTGGAGAATTTGGCAGGAAACCTTGTCAACCAATTACGACAGGACACAATTAATCGTATCAGAGCATCCAAACAAATCGAAATTTGTTGTTTCCATTTTAAAAATTCTACAACAATTAAACCCCTCAGAGAAAGAACCAATTCACCACCAACAGGCAACCACTATTTCAATGCAGCATCGCATTATCCCCACAGATCCCAATTTCTGTCGGAAAAGTTGAAGTATGAAAAGAAAAAATGATTGTAGAAAGGATCCTAATTCGGTAAGAACTATATATGATTGAACACTATCTATATCCAAAAACAGAAATATTTCTCATCCACCAAAGTAAGATGGTATTCATGAAGCACATGGTGCAGAAATGGGGCACCATGCTTCATTGCCGGAAAAAAATGACAATAATAAATATAAACAGGCTGAAATCTCATACACAGTATCCCTATCCGATTATAGATAAAGGTTTACATAAAAGGCATGGGAAATCTCAAAAAAGTAAAGGACACTTAGGTGAAGTGGCAATCAATAGTCAATCATATTAAGTAATCTTTACCGAATCAAAGTATACCATCCAATCGAACTGAACCTCAACTACCTAGATTTTTGTTTTTTTATCAATAAAGCACAGATAATTTTCAAAACTGCACAATAACAAACTTTCAGCTCTACAGAATCCACCAGATCCAGTCAAACTGAACAACGCATAACCTCCTATCGAAATTCGAAATTTCACAAAACAGAAGTACTATAACTACGCACAGATAATAAAATCGCAAGCAGCAGTACAAATCGAAGCGAAACACGAACAATAACAAACCAAAAAAAACGAGCATACAATAATCACAGATCTGCGTTAAATACACAAGCAGCAGCAACTCTTACTCTTGGTAGGCGGAGAGAATGAACACGGAGACGAACAGCACTCTACCGAGGAAGGACACGAACGCCATTGCAGTCCAGCAAGCCTTATCTCCTCTCCGATCAAAGACCTCAACGCAATTTCTTGTAGCAATTGAAGCACAGAGAGATCCAAATTGAGAACGGAGAAGGAAAGGAAGGGAGGAAGGCAGGAGAGATTCGCGAAAAAAGATCGTACCTTTAGGCCGCAGGAGAGAAGAAGAGAGAGTGGAGGAGAGACGGCCGTATTTATACCTCAGCGACATAAGAGAAATCGCTCTAACTGATTTGTCTTATATTGTTGTACGCTTTTAAAATCAAAACTGTGGAACGTGCAATGGTGAGTTGTACACTTTGATTTGACAGTGGTACTATAGCGTGCCAACAATAATTTACATCAACTTAGCAAATATATTCGTGATATGGAAACTATAATTGGATGGGTGTGCTTGGTTTATGCACTTTGTGTTTTTGAATTATTTTTTTATTTAAAAAAAATTAATGAAAAACAATACTCCTTGGTCTCCGCTAAAGGTTACCATTTTCTATTTTCGTCTTTCCCAAAATAAAGTTATTATTTTCTAATTTAGTAGTTGTACTACCTACTTAACATAATAAATATCCTTTGAACTTACAATATATTACACATATGTCATTACTTTTATATTACACCATACTAATAAGAGTATTTTTGTGTTTTTTACTACAATCCAATAAAATACTAATATTCAACCATCTACGTGTAAAAAACAAACGCCACCTTTCCAACGGGATGGAGGGAGTAGTTTTTTTATTTATTTATTTATGTGAGAACCCGCCGCCGCTACCCAAAGTACAGGTAAATCCCCGATCGAACCTAATACCTGCAGATTAGGCCAGACAATAATAGTTTGTTTCCGCTACTTGTGGTTTTTAAAATAAAGTATTTATTAAATACAATATTTGTATATATTTATTGAGAATTGTAAATTTATTCAATACAAAAGATAAATAAAAAAAAATGAGGAGATGAACCCTTTTATTCATTTATTTTTGTTCTCGTGAGAAAATGTTAGGTTATTTTAAAAAGGCAAAATAGCATAATATATATATTTGTGATTTGAGAATTTGCAACAAAAATTGTATTTTTGATGAAATACCCCAAATGTAATAATGAACAAAGATTAAATTGTATTTTTGATGAAATACCCCAAATGTAATAATGAACAAAGATTGAATTAAGTATGTGTGCTAATATTGCGAATATTACATCTTAGGTCTGTCAAAATTAAATTCGAAAAATCAAACTTGGTCGACTTGAAAATTTTTAGATTTGAGTTTGGGTATTTTGGGTTTGTAAAAAGTCGGATCAATTTGAATCCGAAACGAAAAAAAAATCGTATTGTGTTTGAGTCGAGTTTCGGATTGACCTGATAACTCGAAATATAAAAATCAAGTTTGGTTTCGGATTCATATGAAATTATTATTCATTATTATTTTAATGAGTAAATATCATTTTTGGTCTCATTGTATATCACAATTATCAATTTTGGTCTTATAAAAAATTTATCAATTTCGGTCTTATTCAAACTAAAATTTATCAATTTTAGTCCAAGATAACTGACAGAGATTGAACACGACCATGTTGGCTTGAACACGTCCGTGTTGGATGACTCAAAAAAATGACTAGATAACCCAGACAACCAATATTCATTATTTTGCGCTGAACATGAGTGTATTCATGTCTTAGTTCACGGCCATATTATGAACATGGTTGTCTTTTTACCGGTATTCAACCATATTATACTCATATTCACAATTATATTCTCAACACAACCTTGTTTAAACATAGCCATGTTTTTGTTCATATTCACGATCATGTTCTCAACATGGTCATGTTTACAGCCTGTTTTGAATATGATCATATTGTAGGTCATATTTATTAACATTGGCCTTTCTTTGTTCAAATTATTTAAGATATATTTATATTTCAACAAAAATACTTTTTACAATTATTTAAAAATATAAAGATAATTATATTTTAAAAAATGATTGAAAAAAAAATGTGATAAAAATAATAAATTAATACATACTCCATTTTTTATAATCAAAATTATAATCATGCATTAATTATATAAATTATTGATGTTATTTTCAAAATTTTCTAGTTAAAATATTTTAGTAAAATTTTTAAAATAATTTATAATTTATAATTTCAAAAATAAAAACTATAAATACTATTTTAAATGTACTATATTTTAACTAAAATAATTTATAATCATGCATTAAATATATAATGCAAATAAATCTTACCCGGTTTTATTATCACAAGCATATTCGTATTTACGAATTAATTGAGGGTTTTGTGTTTTTTAAGTTTATGGCGCAACCTTTTTTGAGAAAACCGCTAGGGTTTCTGCCGTTACTCTCACAATGATGCGTCTAGACCTAGGATCACAACTCTAATATATATCTTTTATTATTAATTGGTCTCATCACACAATTAATAAGTTACCGAATTTTTGTACATAAGAAACCCACACTTACTAAACACATTTAAACTTAATAAATTAATAGATCACTTGATATATGTTTAACATGATTGATAGCCAAAATAGTTACATTCAACTCACAATTGGATTTTTAATCCAGTAATTGGGTAAATGTATACTGAATAACCTTACGAGCTCATGAAAATTTTGTTATCAGATCCTTTAATGTATATTACAAATTTTATCTATAAATCACATTAATGTGGATCAAAGCGGTTTGTATTTATCACATTGGGATCGATCAATGGTCACAATATCAATATAACCAAATATTCGATCAAGTGCGAATACACAACATGAAAGTTTAATCTGATCTTAACATGTCTATTTCTAATTGATCCACCTTAACTTTAATTCAGAACAACTGAATGTTGAATTAAAACTGAACACTAAACAATATATATTGAATATTGCATTATAAAATAAAGTAACTTTAACTATATTTGAACATTAATAATCAGCTCCCACTAAATTGAAATATCGAAATATAATTTCGCTCTCAAAAGAGCAACATGTTCACTATAGAACTTAGGTGACAACCTTTTAGTAATTAAGCAGATCCGCAATTATAAAAGTTGTAGGAATATGTTTAATAGTCATGATATGAAGCCATACTATTAAATAAATAAATAAATAAATAATAATAAAGTACTAGTTTCAACTAATTTTGAATTTTGGAAGAGATTAAAACTTTATATGTGAATGAACAATAATAACCGAATTTGTCCAAAACAGAAATTAAAATTGAATTTCGACTAAAGATGCTACCCAAAAAATGTCTCGTCCAAATCCAAATAATAATCAGTACTTCATACACAATCTCAAATTGTCAGCGTCTTCAACTTTAAATTTCTTGTCGTCGCCCATATAAATGTATCTTTCACCATCAATTAACTTTCGGCAATAAAGACAATCTTGCATAGACACACTGATATGAGTAGTTGAACCAAAATCCACCCCCAAGTGTGTCTATGAACTTAAATTATTTTAATTTCAATACAAACCAAAGTAAGAAAAGTGTCTTTCATCACGCCTCATTCGTGATACTTATCACAATCCTTATTCTCATATTCAACCTTCTTGCAAAAGAAGCAAGTGTTCTCATCGAGATGAGCCTGATAAGATGGAGATAAAGTAATAGCAAGATCAATATGATCAATATGTCATCCGAAAGATCTAACTTAAGTGTTCTCAATTTAGAAGCAGTATCAGACATGTTTAGGATATATTCTCTTATGTTTTATTTGTCGTTGTTCCTCATGGTAAATGAAACTCATGAGAAAAGTACTCATTTCCGCCTTATCGCATTTGGTAAAACGTTTTTTAATTTTGACAATGAATCTCTTGGTCATAGTGAGATATCATACCCTGAAAATTTATAGAGTACTTTTCTTAATGATCATCAAACTTAGGTGATTAGACTTATCTCACTTCTCAAACAACTGCTTTTCATATGCAGTATCTTTAGTCATATGAATGGATTGGTCTACTTTTAATGTCAAGTCAAAATTCATGCAGTCTAAATGAATCAATATTGCTTCTTTCTAGTATCTAGAGTTGTTCCATATAGTATTAGGACCGTACAAATATACACATAAATATTCATAAAGCATAATGAAGTTAAAAAATAATGCATTCTCATCCAAGATACTAAGTGCAACATCAATGATCAATCTTTGGATCAATAACATTGATTGTTAGCAGTCATTTTATTGCAATAATCATATGCGGATAATAAATAATGTCAAACGGGTTGATGCATTATTTACATAAGTTAAAGTCATATAATCATTTCATACATATCATCGCAGATGTGCATTTTATTCTGTCAATTATCTATTGCCTTTGGGCCAAAGAATAATCATATGAATTAAAATACACATACAAAATTGTGTTATTAAGAAAAAATCTCATATAAAAGAGGTTACTTTGGCAACTTCAAATACTTGATTTTCACCGTCAAAACACAACAAGCATTATTCTTAAACCAAATTAGAATCAGAATCACTTTCAATGCATGTGGGTCTAATCCCATAAAAATAAAAAATGTGTATAAGCAACTGAATGCACATGTCTATATGCAACTGAATGCACGTATGTAAATTTATAAAATAAACTAGCAATCATATAACAAGTTATCGAGCAACATCAGCAATTGTCTTTTGGACAAATTACTGGCTCGCCAGTGATGATCTTGTTTTGACAATTAAATATTGACAATAAAGTAGTGTGTCAAACAATACCCCGTCTTTGGACAAATCTATTATTCACACACAAATAATCAAAGTATCATCACCACATTCAATGTCACTAAACATACTTGTAACTACTTAATCGCTGACTTACCTTTGGGTCAATCAGCATTCTTATAAGTCACACACAGAACTGTCTAATATATAAAATAAATTGATTTACACGGCAGATGCTACTTTGGCAATATAATTATTTTAACAAATTCATAAAATATATTATATTAATTTATTGTTAATTAAATTCATCTTAAAATTCTTATGTATCAAATACAAATAAAAATTTTAACAACAATTAATTTGTGAACTCATTAGAATAATCAAGTAGTCCAAAAAAATACTAAATACAACGGAATTACACAGACAACATATATGTCACCCAAAAAAATTATAAATTAATAGATTAAGTAATTATAGTCGAATTTGAATAAATATATAATGTCAAAAAACAC